CAGGAGCTCAAATTAGCTGAAAATTTCACTTTTTCAATGTTATTTTTTGTTTAAGTTTTTGTGTAATTCTGATTATCTATTTACATTTTGCTCTTCATATTTTGCCCTTTGTTATACATTGTGAGTACTTAGTAATGTGACAAAATGTATATGTTTACAAGCTGTCAGAACAGAATATGTTGTATTAAATAGTGTAAAAAAAACCCTGACTATTATGGTATACTAATCTGCCCATTGTTTTTTAAATGAATCTAATAAATATTTGGCTGAAAAAATGTCATAAAATAGCAAAAATGTCACAATATCCGAAAGCTTAAGATGACGTCTTCAAATGTCTTGTTTTGTTCAACCTTAAGTAAAAAAGCAGAAAATCTTCACAAATGAGACACTACAACCAGTGAATGCTGGCTTGAAAAATTATTTATCACATATCAAATTAGTTAATTGATAATTATATAGGCATACATATTAAAACACTTTAAGTCTTTAATGAACATGCACAGAGCTGGGGATACTCTTCTACTCTCACACTCTCACACTACATAAATAAAAGATCTACTTTAAATTCCGCTTTATAGTCTTTAGTTTTCTGTTGAAACCTCCAGTAAAAGCGCTTTTTGTTACTCTGTCATAACTGTGTCCATATTCAAAAGCAAACTGAAAACATTTTCTCAGGTTTGTGATTAGTAACTGTCAGTGTGTATGTGTGAGTGGATGCAGGTTGTCTTTCGAAAGGTCCGTGTTTCTTTTTCTTGTTGTTGTTTACATCCTTGTATTTTATTTAGTTACTTGTTGCTTTATGCATTAATGAGCTATACGTACAGTGGCCACTTTTTAGGTACATCTGTACAAACTAATGCAATCCAACACAATACAATTCTGCCATAAAGTCCACTTTTATGATCTGTAAATAGGTCAAATACAGATTCTGTAATGTAAAACACCTTCATATCTCATGGAAAACCTTTATTAATAAGCCATTTTAAAAGAATTTATATGGAATACAGTAGGTTTTTTATATTACAGACTGTAAATTGCACAGAAAACAGCATTCATAAGGTATATACAAAATATATGTTTATATATGTTTTAGGACTGAGGTCACAGTTAGAGGTGGTGTTGTACTGGACCACATTATATTCATATGTGTTTCTAGGGAAAGGACGAAAATGTAAAAACATATAACAGAATTGACTCATTTATTTTTGATGTCAACAAAACATGATAACTTTATAAAGTTGCGGGGAAATGTGACAAAAGACCACACTTTGTCCACTACAGTGTTAATACCGACCATTTGCAGAAGTTAGTCAATGCTCAAGGAGCTTGTATGGCTCCTTAGTTGCAGCTCTTATAAACTGTCAATGTTTCTTTCAGGGGTAGTTTCTCGTCATGACACCTGCTTCCGTGCACTACGAGCATTAAAACGTGGCAATTAAAAGACCCAGAGGTAAGACAATAAGTTTCACAATCAGCACTCTTCATTAGAAAGCAGCGTTGCAGGGAATTTAAGCTTCCTACTATCTGTGTAACTCTGAAACAAAAAGGTGTGAAACAAGAGGAGGGGGTTTGGGCAGAGAAAATGAGTTTCACATGTGAAGAAGAAGTAAAGTGGGCGACAACAATATTTACAACAAAATAGAGAATACTATTGACCAGCTGCTCATTTAAACCACTGGAGGACGAATTGAAACCAGTTCCAGTGATATTTTCAGCACCAGCACAATTAAAACATCGACAGTGCAACCACCATTGGACAGAAATGTTCATATTTATTTAGAACTCAAAAGGTGTTGAAGTATGGCTCTTTGTTTATTCTGTTTCTGAGCTGTAACGAGCTACACGGCAACCCTGAGACTGCTGAGTTGCTGACAGTGGTCTCGGTTTGGAGAAGTACTCTGAGGAAGTATGTTCATAAAAATATTTATTATTGAAAGTCTGAAAAACCTCCAGAGTAATTGTTAGGATATCTCATTTAATATATCCCATTTGATATTAAAGGCTTCACTACTGATACCAAAACCTTACTTTTTTTTTTTTTTACCTTATCTTTAAATAATAGTAAAATTGGCAACAAAAAAACTTAATGTAAACTGGAAATTACACAAAAAAAGATTTTGAGTTTGACTAAATATGTAATGGCTTTCTGCACTTTATAGTTTTGACTTTAGTGCAACGGACACATTTAAGTCTGTGCCAATGAAGTACTGAGGCCTGATACTCAGCCCTTGTAATCTGTGATATAATATGCAGTTTTTAATTATAGTCATATTTTATTTTTCAGTCACAATGAATTTTTCTTCATTGTGACTTCATTCCTTCACTTATTGATGCTTGATTGACTTATTCAGATGCTTTTACCAAGGTTTCTTCCTCAGTCTGGTACATGTACTGTGCAGCAGAGTAGTCTGTAGTGGTTTATTTGATGTGTGAACATGTTTCAAGTGTCAGGTTGTTGTTTTTGTACCCTCACCCGTGTGATATGAGTCACTCTGTCCACCGTGGCTCCCACGGGACCAGTGGGGGAAACAGGTTTTTAAAGTGTTAACTGGTCTGATTGTAACTGGAACTGTGATTACTGGATTCAGCTGCCTTTTTAAGATGCATTGCATTGTATTATATTGTCTATTATACACAGACTGTAAAAGGAAATCTGCACACAAAAAAACTGTTTGTTTTGCTATATTATCATAAAATACACAATACTTATAGCTCATACAAACAAACAAAATCAACAATTATGTCAAGGTCTTACCTATAGAAAAATGGATAACTGAAAACTGGAAGAACTCACTGCCACTCTTGTATTTTAGTCCTACAATCTACTAGAATACACAACCAGCAGCCTGTCCATTAGACAGAATCACAGCTATGATATAATGTGGTTGCTACACAACCTTTATTTGCTTTTCTGAATTCCAAAAATGTCCGTAAGCGCCTTTCAGCAAGCCTCTGAATGCCAGAACAGTTTCCTGCTTCCGTGAGCTAAGGTGAAGACAAGTCACTACTATAAAGCTCTGACATCCTGCACATTGAAACCCGTAAAGCAGAGGAAGTTGTTGCTCTTTACACTTAGTAGTTGATGTGTTAGGCACATGCTTGCTCCTGTATTTAAACTCATTTTTCCCCCCAAAATAAATGTGAATTATTGTATTTTTTGCACAAAATGCACAACACTTAGTGGGGATTGTGCGTTTGTCTCATTACTGCTGCCATGTGCACCTCTGCCAACGCGTCACAGCTTTCTGTGTGTGTGTTTCATGAAGCTTTTGCCTATCTGCTCCACCAGCTTCCTGATTCCAGCCCCGTCTCTGTCTGGGTCCTGCTGCTAAATGGAGGAGGAAATGCCTTTAGAGCTTTTAGCCAACTATCTGAGGAAGAGCAGGAAAGTGGGCTGCGCCTGATATATCACTGTTTAGACTTTATTATGTGTTTATGTCAGTAGACCCACAGCACTTCTACTTGTTTACTCCCCACAGATGCAATCACCTTTAACTGATCAGATCGTAAAGGGATGATTGACGAATGTTTTTTTCCTTAACCAGATGTACTTCGGTTTACTTTGTACTGGTCTATGTGCCAATGGCTGGTAAACTGAAGAAATATATATTTTTCAATTGCAGCTTCACGATTGTGAGGTTTTTCTGCTTTTAATTAATAACTTCTTAATTTATTCTTAATGGTTTTGAGGTTTTTGGACCGAGGTTGGACTAAACAAACATGGTGAAGGTGTCGCTTCGGGCTCTCGAATAAACCGACCGATCGATTAATGGAGAAATTAATCCAAAATGAAACTACTACTACTGTCCTCGTCCTTCTTCACAGCAGAGTTGTGTGAAACCAATCAATCAAACTTTATTTGTATTGCACATTTCATACAGTGTAGTGCAGTTCAAAGTGCTTCACAGATGATGATAATGAGACAGAATGTTAATTAAATATTTAAATAAAGGTAGATTTAAATACAGAATGCAATGATAAAAATGACAATAAAATACAGCTAGAAGGAGATTATTTAATAAAAGTTCAGAAAAATAAACAGGGGACTTGTCCAGACTTTTTTAACTGGGGGTGGCATCAAATATGTGTCTCATGGAGTGGATAAATAAAAAGTTAGTTTCTGATTGTGGTTACTAAACACAGCAACACCTCCACCACACACCTCTGCAGAACAGCTGCCACGCTTCATCCTGTCATAGCCTGTGTTTGCCGCTCAGCCCCGCCCTCGGTCAAACACACAGACCTGCAGCTCGAAACGGGGGGGAGACAGAGACAGCGAGGTCACCTGGTCATTATCTTTACAGAGTCCCGACCTCACACCCAGCTGCCCCAGCTCTATTCGGTACAGCTAATGGTGCACCAGTGCGACCTATGAAAAGGTTTCTTCACACTTGACAGATTTTTGGTCGCACCCTGGAGCTTTGTTAAAGATATGATAATAATTTCACTGTTATCATCGTGTCAGTTCCAGCTGTGTGCAGCGGTGCTTCCCTGCTCAGCAAAGGTTAGCAGCTAGCTGGGGAACACAAGAACACAAGAGACCAAAACAGAGCTGAAAGGACGGTGCATATTGGGTGGCCAGAAACAAGACGCTAAATGATAACTAATGTTGCTCTATGTCTTCTGCTCTCTCCCTACCTCTCAGCAAATTTAAATAATAATTCTAACAATAATTCTTCCAGCTCAAAAATCTAGTTTTCAGTTGGAATACCTAAAATCATTTCTGTGATACAAAACAAATTCACGGGTTGTAATTTAAAGGGCTAAAAAGGTCAAATAGGAGTACCAGTCCCAATTATATCAGATAATATGTTTTTATTTTAACAAGAAAACCCCCACTGGGCACTGTTGTTGTTGTCACATCATTCAGTCTGTTATCAGGCATATTTCAGCCTCTGCATCAGCTTCATGAGCCCCGGACATAAATACAGTCACACATACATGAATATACACACACATAGACAGTGAGCAGTGCTAAGATAAAGAGGGCTGGGCTTGTTCCTTAACCCACTCAGCTCTCAGACCTTGAGCTTCATAAAGGAACCTCAGGTCAGCGACCGACCTTAAAGTTGACAGCTGAGCCCTTCATCGCTCTCCACCATGATCCTGTACCTGCTCTTCCCCGTTCTTATCCTCGGTATGTGTTCAGATCTCATTTTAAAAGCCGGTTTTAGGTTAATTATGTTTTTGTCTCTTAGTGTTTCCTGTTTTTTGAGTTTCCATCAGTGTCTATTGTTTTCCCTGTGTGTGGGAATGATGAAGGAAAAGGCGGAGGGCATTTTAGTTTCAGTAGCAGCCAACAAAAGGCTGGTGTGGACTCGTTCATGTGATGGTAAAAAGGCTTCATTAAATCTGTGTCTGCAGGTATTGTGGAGTCACAAACAGCCAACATGACAGACAAAGAGTGGAGGAAAGCTGATGGGAACCTAACATTGATTGAGTCCATTGCCAACAGTAAGACTTTTTATTTTTCACTTATTGATTATTTATTTTTCTCAGTGAATCTATAAAATGTCAGATAGTTTATATGTAGTTTATTATAGAACAGAAGCTGGAACCAGTGAATTCTAGGCATTTTCCGTTCATCAGTCACTAAAATCACCAGTTTATTTCCTGTCAGTCGATTATCATTTGTAACAAGACCATCCGTTTAGGAAGCTAAAGCGAGAGAACATTTGGCCTTTTTGCTTGAAAAACGAGAAAATAACTGATCATCAGTTAATCAGTCGACAATTTGTTTTTGCTCTACGAATGCGAATCACTCTGATTGGTCATCATTAGGAATGTAAAGATATATCGCAAGACTGGAATGGGACGATATATGATAACACGATAAAAACACATTGCTGAAAAAGCTGTCCAGCTCGCCAGCGTACAGTCCTGTAATGATTTCCTGATTTATTTTGAAGGTGACAAAGAGAAGCCTGCTTCTTTCCAGTCATTCCAAAATCTTAATCCCATCACCATGGCTGAAGGCTCGGCTTGTTCTTGTAACCCCCTAAAAAAAAAAAGTTAAACAGGATGTGTGGAAATAGTTTAGATTTCAAAATAAAGAGCAGGGAGATGAGGTTCCTATCTGTGATGCAAAAAATATATTTGTTTTCATAACAAAATGTAAGGTAGCAACATTTTTTAGTGACATTTTAAAAGTATAAAGTATTTTAAAAGTATATTTTCATGATTATCGTAATAATATCGTGTATCACAAATATTATGGTCAAGATAATCGTGACATAGCTACAAATATGTGAAGGTTTAAGTTGGCGAGCCTAACCCTACGTCACTCACATCAGTCGCTGTATTGAGGCCCAAAGACATCCGTTTCACTTCTACAAAGACACCTCAGAAATAAAACCGATTCCGGTCTTCAGTCTCATTTTGTCAAACAAATAGTAAGAATCCCATTGTAAACCCAGTTTGGGGGATTGTGTCGAATCGTTAAATTGCTTGTATGAATGTAAGAGCTTCGTTAATAAGAGTGTGCAGCAATCGTGTGGATTTTTCATCGTTAGTTCACACATGGACAACGTCGCTCAGTAAATACGTTTTTGCGTGCAGGTACGATGAAACCCTTTACTGTGACGTCCAGTTTGAACAAGGACAAGAAAAGTGAAATTGTGGATGAACTGCAAAACCAGACTGCGACTGTTATCACAGAAGATGATGGTGAGTTTTTCTACTTATTCTGCAGTAGGGAAGGAAACTCCAGAGCCCTTATCAGTGCCTTTTAATTTCCTGTAACAAGATATCAGCAATCTAGTTTCACTTTCAGGAAAAGCTGAGATAAAGAAACGCTCACTACTGGGCTACTGAGTGAGCTCATAACGTTGTGAAATCATCTGAAGACAATCTGAATAATGTCATTTAATACTAAAAACTTGGGTGTTGTTTGATATTTGTGTGTCCCCGTTATTTTTCCTTACTCTGCAGAGAATTTCCAGGACCAGGTAACTATGTTCCCTGGCAGACGGTGTCAGCAGGACTTGCTAGAAGAGTATAGTCACATCTTATGTGGTAAAGAGTTTCACACACAAATGGAGTCAGTCAGCACAGAAGACCGGTGTGTCCTGGACAATATCATCAGGTAATGCATACGGAGTACATTCATTTTCATTCAGTTCATTACAGGTATAGTGATCAGTGTTTATTAGATGCTGTGTGTTAGCTCGCTTTCACTCATCACCACATCCTACTTTCTGCTGTCAGTGGAGTGGCACTGTGGTCTCTTGATTACACTTTTACAGTTTTTCTAACATTAATTCGGCCACAGCCCGTAAGAAATGCGGTGTAGAAAGCGAAAGTGTTTGTTACACGTACAGCTAACATTGCTGTGTGTCTTTATCAACCACAAAATGCATGAATTTCAGTCAGAGCCTCAGGAAAAACAGACTCGACACCGAGCTTTGCATGTTTTACACCAAGCAGATTATCCTGCGGAGTTTCAAAATAAATACATAACTAGGTTAAGGTAGGTGATCTGAGCGAGGGGCTAAAATATGACTAAAAGTTTCCAGGACACAGATTATTTCCAGAGCTGCACAGTAAATAGAAATATTGCTGAAATCGCAATTCGGCCAAGTGCAATATCCAAATCTCTGAAGCTGTAATGTTTGGATAAAAGGTCAAATGTGTGACAAACAGCGTTATAATGAAGTACTGTAGAGCTGCAGAGATGCTTTGACCTACAAATCTTGTTCTCCAGATTTAAGAAAAACATATTAGTTTGGTACAGACTTCAACAAATGTCACATCATCATGATTTTAATAGTTTTTTTTCAGTGAAAATGAAAATTTGGATGCAAAAATTATCATTCCCACTTGTGTATCATACATCATGGAATTCCAGGTATTTCCATGACTAGAAAACTAGTCTCTAAGAGTACAGGTTTTCCAGGAAGTGTGTTTATAAAAGCCAAAACAATCACACATTTGCCTCCGTCGTTGTCTGCAGGACCAGACTTCACACAATGAACATTTTATTTAGGAGGTGCACAATATTATAAGCAGAAGTGTTATTGTTTCTCTAAGAAGAAAAAGGAGGTTGATATCAGACCCCAGTGAAATGCTGGTATTCATGGTTGATTTGGGGTTAAGAGGAGAATCTGGGTCGTTAGTGTCAGGAGTTCCTGTGTGGCAAGTTGAAGGGCAGAGGTCCCGAAAATAACAGTGGAGTGGTTTATAAAGCAGGTTAACTGGTCATTTTATTTTTTAACATTAGTGAACCTGATGACAGGATGTTCTTT